CTGGGTAGACAATACTGCAACAAAAAATTGGCCCTCAGCCTCAAGACCAGCGTCAGATTAGTCACTGAATAACTCAGGATGATCCAATGACTCATAATTTATTATGCCTATGAAGATGGAAACAATCATATCCTGTGCCGTTGACCCCCATTCACCACCCTACCCTTACTGAGATAAATCAAAGTAGGAGTTAGCTTCTTATCCCCAGGAGCAACAACACCTTGGAACAAACATAATCTGCTCAGGAGTCTTCAGGTTGCTTCTCCCAGATGTGAGGTCCTTGCAGTGCAAAAAAGGAAGACTTGAACCTTCCAGCAAGCTTCCCAACATAAGGAAAGGGACTTGGAGGGGGAATGGACAAATTGGAGCAGTGAAGAAAAAAAGTAGAGATGATCAACAGGAAGTTGCATTTACAGGAGTTAGTATCTGCACAGGTGTCTGAGTAACCAGGTGAGGGGTTTCTTTGAGAGGAATGAATAAATTTCTGTTGGGGCTTTTGCTTCTGCTCTCATGGTGTCAGAACTGAGGACAGAAGGAAGGGCAGGGAGAGATGCTGGTGGGAGTCTTGCTTCTGGAGAAGAGGCAAATGATAGAAGAATATAGTCCCTGGTATCCATATGTTTGTGGCACAGGGTGGATCCAGTACCAGCAGGTTCTTTGTAGGTGAGAAGGACAGGAAGGCCAGGCAGTGAGATGGCAGTTTGAACACCTTTCCAAAGTGTACACCATGGCTCAGGAAGGAGTTATGGGCAAATGAAGGAGAAGGGCTCTGGCCTTAAAATCTCTGAAGAGGTGATAGAACTGAATTACTTGCATAAGCTGATAATTTTGCTCATCTTGTGCTGCCTCTCCCCCTTTTTATCTCTCCTTAGATAATACACCCACTGAAAAGGGTTGCAAGGGCTCAAGGGCTTCCATCAATCATACCTTTCCTTCACCACAGACCTATGACCAAGATTCAGAGATAATGTCATCTGAGGCCAAAGCTTTCCACCTCAAAGCTACCACACAGGTTGGGAGCAAGGCATCCTGACCTGCATCCCAGATTGTTTTTGGATTACATGAGCCTCCCTGGGGAATGTTCAACAGGAATTGACACTCATCACCAGTCCTGGCAGGAGGCTGAGTAGAGCCAGATACCCTCCCTAGCCTGGGTTCCACCATGCAACACTCTCCAAGCATGGAGTGCACCAACAACTCTCAGAATAGCTGACAAAGGAGGTGTCAAAGCAAGCCCCCAAGTAAAGCCCTCCTGTGCTGGCATACAGCTTGCAGGATGCTTTCCCCCTGCTGCATGCACCAGGCTTGGCCAAGAGATGGGCAATGTGATGGGCTAGGCAGCAAAGGCATGTGGGTGCTAAACACACAGAGAATCCTATGGCAGCTGGCTGCAGAGGGTAGCCCCGATGCCTAAAGAGATGCTTGAGAACACACAGGCTAGGGATAGATGAGGCTTTATTTTCATTCCCAAAGAAGTGTTCGGGGCGTCTGAAAAAGTGAGGTAAAAATATAGAGCACAAACCATCAAGATTAGCACCATGTTACAATGTACAGGTATAGTCCAGAATTGCAGATATTTCCTGATGTCTCTCAGTTGTGGATGGGCAGCATTGCTCCCCTGGATGTATGAAGGCAGCAAGTTTAAAGAAATCCTTACAGAAAGGCTTTTTTGGCCTTGGGAAGCCAGCCTTGGGCAGATAAACAGGTGGCACTTGCCCAACAAGCCTGCTTCCCTTTATATATCTGTAATCACCTCACACAGACAGCGAGTTGCACCTCTGGAGATAGTATCCTGAGGTATGCAGCCAGGAAAACTGACATTTGAAGGAGAACCTGACCCTTCTTCCCTTCATGATGCAAAGCCCCTGAGGTCCATCCACCTCCCCACACAAAAGGGCAAGTCTTCCCTAAAGCTGTGGTCAGGCACTCTATGCATTCCTTTTGCACTCTCCTTCACTGCTGTGCAGGGGATATCACCTCCCTGCTCTTATCCACAACTCGCCACCTCTTACAAGATATGGGATACTTGGCTGAAGGTCCAGGCATAAGTGCCTGGTTGCTCTGGGATGGCCAGCAGCTTGCCTACCCCATCGTGCAGGGTGTCAGGTGCTGTGGGGCACAGCAAGGGCCAGCAGCTGCTTGTGGGGTGGCACAGTGCCACTGGGGCCACACTGGCCTGGCCCCAGATGGGGAGCTGGGAGCAAGCACTGGGCAGACCTTGTGCTGGATGATCTGGATTAGCCTTGAATTTCAGCCATATCAAGCCAGAGACACTGCCTGCTCCCTTACCACATGAACTACTATAAAAATACCCATCTCTCACTACCAAAGGTCCCATGGGCTGACAGTGGAGGACATGTCCTATGAAATTAATTTCCTTTGGGCTTCCAAAGGTCTTTGTGGGACCATGCTGACTGACAGATTTATAGGCATTTCTAACACAGACACTGTAGGTGGTGGTGGAGCCCAGGCAGAGTCTGGCTGACTTACAGACCTGATAAGCAGTGCAAGACATCAGCAACAAAGGGGTTAAACCAGCTAGCAGGTGCCAAAAGAGAGAGAGACAGGCCTTCCAATCAAAAGCACTCTTTATTCCATTGCCAGTGGGATTTTCTGTTGTGTCTGCCCAGGGCACCCTTTTCTGCCTTTCACGGTGCCTCCGCTCTCTGAATCACACAGAATAAATGCAGCAGGCACAAGGAATGCATCAGCTGGCTGCCTGAAGATAGCATTTTAATTAGCCAGCAATCAAACGCGGACGTGACCAGAAGCCCTTCAGGGAAAGTTCTCATGCACACGGTGAAAGGCTGTATGAGGAGATCAGAGTGTCAGCCTGAAAACCTGGCCTCTCTCCATGTGTCCCTGCCTCACCTTGGGCCATGGCACAGGAGAGCTAGGTGCAAACTCTGGGGAGGGTGAGGGGCAACTGCTCTCCTATCTTCCAGCCTCTCCAAAGGCAGGGTTCTCGATCATGCAGAGCCTCTCCAACCAGCCTGAGCTCACTTCCAACACCAAACTATGACCCTGTTCCTCACAAGAGATGACAGCCCAGTTACACCCACCGTGGAGAATAAAGAGCTGGACTGCTTCCAGCGCCCTAGGTAACCCCTGTCAGAGCTGGCTTGGGCAAGGTCTTGCTGCAGTTGAGGCAGATACCTTGGCTCTGCTACATTCACACGAATTCTATGAGCTGTCCCATCTGAAATATGCCATTCAGCTACTGTCTCATGAAGTAGGTGGCTACCAGGTCATCTCGCTCTGCAGATATCCTACTTCTTCTGAGCCCTTAGAGGAAGGGAGAGGGGCACCAGGAGTAGCCAACCCAGTTTGCCATTGCTCAGACAGAATTTGATGTGTTGGGTTTGATGTGCTGATGAGGGTTTGATGTGTTGCGACTGACAGGAACATGCTATCTCATCCATACAGGAGACCTGGGTCCCTTCATGCTGAGATTTCACATCCAGCTCAGCCCAGGGGAGAAGCACTTACCTGAGGGTTTCAATTTTTCCAATTTGATGACTTGCAAACATTTTCCAGGTCACAAACAAGCAGAGCAGGCCTCCTGAAAATAGGCTTGCTGTCTTCATCACCTTGAACAGCCACGAGCCCATAGATCCACACAGAACAAAAGCCAGGGGTGAACATACACGGGAAGAAACTCCTTTGGGTTCCTCATGCAGAAACATCCAGATGGATCACATTCTCACTTCACTCCTGCAGTCTGCAAGATGTTACTGAATACAGTGAACCAAAATGTCCTCAGGTACTCATCTTCTTTCCTCCGCTCCGCCCTCTGCTGAGGCAGTGACTGCAGGTCCACCTGTTGAGCTACTTGAGTCCATCCTAAATAGCAGCTAGATTCTTTACCAACTGCAAACACTAAGTCCATTACCAGAAAGGGTAGGCTCACAGCATTACTTTCACCTTGGATTATAAATTCCACCAGGATTGCATCTACTCATGCCTGTACAGTACCCAGCTCATGGGACTTGGCTCCTGACAAAAGAGAAGCAGGGCTGGGACCATCACCACACTGCTCAGCATCAGGCTGGGAAGGAACCCAGGAGTCCTTCCCCCCTGGTCCTGCCCATCACACCACCCTCTTCTCACCAAGCTGGGAACTCGGGCTGAGCTCCACACAAGGGTTCTGGTGCCTACTTCCCATTCATTTCAATGGGTTTTAGGTACCTAGATGCTTTTGGAAGCTCTGGGTCCAAATCCAAGAGTCCAACTGGTAGGTTGCTGATGCCCTGTAGCCTCCAGAGGCAATGCTGGAGAAACTGTTACACAGTGGAAGAAAACCAGGATGCAAGGCAGAAGGAGAAAGCAAAGGAAATCAAGGTCAGAATTAAATTCTTTAATACAAAAAAAAGTTTGTTTGTCGTCGTCGTCGTTGTTTTAAGATATATCTGTAATTTCTTAGTTTAAAAATAAATATGTACTAAGGAATATCTTGAAAAAATTCACTAGACACAATATGTAGTGTTAATATCTTTTTTCCCCGCAATTATTACAGATAAACAGTAGCACCAATAAATAAAATGATAACAAATATTAAAATTAAAAAGGAGAGATTCAAGATGTAGAATTTTCTATTTTTTCCTGTTTCTTCTTTTTACATATATAAAAAAATTGTAGTGTCTATTTAATCCGAATCACACATATACATAAACATATATATATATATATACAAACACATAGCCAAATATATATATAGTATGTAGATGTATATCTAACCGTTGTCTCAATAGGAATGTGTAGGGGTAGGTGTTAGAGAAATTAATTAAATAACTGCCCATAACATGCTACTGACTCTGCCAACAATTGGGGAGAGACGGGATGGGACAACAGGAAGGTTAAATTTATACACAAC